GGAATTTAATTAATCGGGAGCATTTTCGTGCAATAATTTTTTACAACTTTAGTCGCGGAGTAATTCAACAACAATGTATCGAGGAACTTAATTCGACTTTTGGAGTTAAAGCACCATCTAGGACTACTGTTTACCGCTGGTTTTCGGACTTCAGTAGTGATCGTTTTCTTAAGGATGAATTTCGTGAAGGTCGTCCAAAATCCATGGTTGTCCAAGAAAACATTGATGCAGTGCGGAAACTGATTTTGCTGGATCGTCATGTGGCACTAGTTTGACTAGCATACATACAATTTTGCATTAACATTTGGCCGCTAAAAAAATTTGTTCTCGTTGGATTCCACACAATTTAACATCAGCCCACAAAAAGACTCATGCTGTTTGGTCGAAGGAAATGCCAAAAAAATACGATCGTGGTGCTTCTAAACACGTCTATGATATCGTGACAGGTGATGAATCATGGATCTATGCATATGAACCTAAAAGTAAGCAGCAGTCGATTGTGTGGGTCTTTCAGAATGAGACAAAGTCCACAAAAGTTGTTCATGCGTGAAGCACCTCGGTAGTCTGTTTTTTCAGGAAAACTGGCCACGTTACAACTGCTTCGTTGGTGAAAGGTAAAACAGTCAATTCTGAATGGTACACAACCATTTGCTTGCCTAAAGAAAAACCAACCGCCGAAGAAGAATTACTCTTCACGACGACAATGCAAACTCTTTGAGCATTAAAAACGTTGCTTTGATGAGCCATCCACCATATAGTCCTGATTTAGCACCTAATGAATTCTGCTATTCCCATAAATTAAGAATAAATTACGTGGGCAACGACTTTTGACACGTTTAAAGAGCATGTTTTGGAAGTACCCGAATCGAAGTAGGAAAAATGCTTTGATGATTGGTTTTATCGAATGCAAAAGTGTATTAATCATCAGGATGAATATTTTGAGAAACAACAAACAGAATATTTGTTAGTAGCTTCTAGTTTTTTATTATAAATCCCGAAATATGAAAGGTAGCCCTCGTAATAATGAAGCAATCTTCTTTAAATTTATACTATTATAAACTAATCTATATTCTGACAAGCAGCATAACAGAGTTTATTTAATAAAATTTTTGCTGACTCATTGTTCGCTTCAAATAAAGAAAACACCATAACTTACGTCTAGGCTGTTCTTCGTCGATCGCCCATTCTATGATTCCTCGTTTTGCTTCGCATGCCACTGTAATGTTTGTCCCCTCCAAACCTTTTTGTACCGAAGGCGTTCCAATGAATTCTATAGGTTCTGAAATAAAAAAAAACACGTTGAATGGAAAGTAAATGAAAGCAAATTATTTCCATCCGTTCTCGCCAATCCTAGCGTATGTGGTTTTAATGGCCTTTCCTCTGTATTAAATACTACACAATAAGCGCCTATCCGGATTTTGTGAGAGGCAAATCCGAATTTACGAATTAAATGCTGCTAATCTTAAAATCGCTTGCTTGTGCAGGCAACAAGTATAGAGCCCAATTATCTACGACAGGAATTTTGGGTATTTCAAAAACATGCGCTAATATTCGGCTGGTATCTCAAAAAAAAAAAGACAAAAAAGATATAGGGTGTTAAATATTTAATTTGTGCTAAAATCCTCAGTTAGTAGAGTGCAACGAGGTGGTTATTTTAATTTTTTCCTTTGGTTTTAATTTTTTTAACTAAGTTTATTGCATACATTTTTATGGTTTTTATTTTTTTGCTCGAAAAGTTAGGAAAACAACTCAATATTGCCAAATTTTAATAACATGGGGATTACTAAGCCGAGCATGGGCGCCTGTTTTTTGAACCATTCTGTATAAGTATCATTTAATTGGGACTATTAAGAGTTAAAGAATACTTATTCGACTCCCATGCAACATAAGTTTCAAGTATTTTTGAAAACGTGAAGTAGAAATTGGTAGTTTAGTAAAATTTAATTACATTGGATCTTAGTGGCAGAAGAAAATACAAATTTATTTTTTACAATGTAAAATTAGGAAAGACTATGAAAGAAAGACGAGTTTTATAAAACAGGGGGACACTAAAACCAAAGTTTACAGATTTCAGTGAACTATAAATTTTAGTGCAATATCAATGATCGAATCATTTGCCAACACGGACCGTAGAAGTAGTTAGTGGTAAGTTGAAGCAAATCATAGAAGTCTTACATACTTGTTGCTTACATACAATAAGTAATATTTTTAAACAATTATCTAAACATGAATCCTCAGTGACTGTCAAAAACATCATTCTGGCAACAATATTATAGACAATAACAAAAAAAATTGCTTAAAAACGACACAAAAATTTGACGTACATGTGTAGTTAAGTTTATTTTCACTTATATAAACTTTTAACTATAATTGACTAATGACTAAACAAAATATGATTAGAAAACGATGACAAAATATTGGCTACACACTGGTTGGTGTTGTTTAATTACTCTTGATGTGTTTAAAATTATTTTAATTGCCATTTTAATAGCCGTGTTTGTCGCATTATTTATATGGACTAAAAGTTAAATTAAAAATATTATGAGATTAATACCGGCCCCGCCGAATCAATAGGACCGTCATTGCAGCAATATTCAGCGATATAGAAATATTTAAAACTTTAATTAATTCAAATAAAGTAAAATATTTTATACAATTCTGGTGATTCAGATAATAATAATTAACAATAATTATTTTTAAAACATCTGTCGAATAAATGTAATTAGTTTAAAGGGACTTTGGTATTTTGTTGCTCATTAAGTGCATTCCTTTGTTACGCGAGTTCTGCGAAATCTGATTATAAATATAAATCGACTTTAAATGGGATGAATTTTATAAAAAAACTTTTCATTCTAAAACCGTTTGGAACTAAAACCATCAATGGTTAAATTATATACCGGATGAGACAAGAAAGTGGGAACACTCTATAACTTTTAAACCGCTTGAGATAGCGATTTGAAATTTGAAGGGGTTAATATAGGCTGAATATCCAATTTTTTGACCATGTGTAGTCAATGGTTATACTTCCGGTTTGAGCGGAAACGACAGTAAGTTTCGAATTTTCAATGTCACACCCCATATTTTTTTGCATGCTTGGGTTCAGGAGGGTGGTTTTCCTAAACTTTTTCTTGTGTTTTTTTTTTTAATTTTTATTTAATTTTGAAAATTTTGTCTAGGAGGCTGTGACCATCATAAATACTATTGACCGGGTCACCTGATAATTTGAAAAATTGTAAATGAAACTTTTCTTTACTTGTCTAATCGCAAATAGCATTTAATGTAATGAACTAATGATTTTTTTAGGATAACCTAGTGTGCAGGAAAGTGACGTCCCGGATAGCGGGCTGCATACAATGCATTTCCCATATGTCAGAAACAAACTTTTTCTTCATTTGTAAATTAATTATTGTTTTCCATGATAATCCAAATCGATAACACGACAAAATCGATAAACAGATAAAAATGTACAAACTGTCAGAATTTTAAATCATGCCGACTTGATGATGAATAGAAGCAAAGCCACCGAAGTAATATTTTGTTTTTATAAAAATGTATTTACTTATCTGTTTTTTTTTCTTCCTGTGAGCTTATGTTTTTTAACGGATTTTAAAAATTTTTGGTGTCAAAATGTTGCAAAAAAAGTACCGGTTTTAAAAAAATTTTGTTCTGACTTGGGTGATATTTGAAAAAACTAAGTTATCCTAAAAAATTAATAGTTCATTGAATTAAATGCTATTTGCTATTAGACAAGTAAAGAAAAATTTTATTCACATGATCAGATGACCCTGTAATAGTATTTAAGATGGTCACAGCCTCCTAGACACAATTTCCAAAATTAAATGAAAATTTAAAAAAACAAAAAAGGAGTGCAAAAAATATAGTGTGTGCCATTTAAAATTCGAAAGTTACTGTCGTTTCCGCTCAAACCGGAGTGATTACAAAAATTGGACATTCGGCCTATATTAACAATTTGAAATTTCAAATCGTTATCCCAATAAGTTATAGAGAATTCCCACTTTCTTGTATCACGGTATATTAAATATTTTTGCTAAAATTGAGTTCAAATAGGTTTTTCTATATAACTTTGTCTCCTTGCTTGTTTCTTTTTATATATTCTCTATCCCTTTCTTTATACTTGCTCAATATACCTTTATCATCTGTTGAGCCATTTGGCGTATTGTATAGTATATGAGAGTAAAATTTTGACTTCTTTTGAAGATTGAGTTAATTATTTTTACAATCTGAAGTAGTTTTAAGATAGAACGATTGATATTGCCGACCTTGGATTTGCTTAAGCTGATTATTGTTATTGCATTTAGTTAACTATCGGCTTGGCTGACATATTGATGACCGTTATTAGGTTTAATTGAGTCAAGAAAATATATCTAGTAAATAATTCCCCTCGAAGTTGCTCATTTCAAAAAGTTGATTTCTCAATACTGCCATTGTCCGTCCTAATTATTTTTGATACGACTTGCTCAGAAAATCATTAAAATATTTCAGTAGGCTCCTTATCATTGAAAATTTGTGTATTTTTTCTTTTTGAAAACGAAAGGGAAACGAAGTCATTGATAATCCAAATAAAAAAATAATAACGGTTTAAAAGCATTAAAAAGGCTCTTAATATCGAAATACATTCTATTCTTATTAAACAGTCAAACGATTAATTCTGGAATGTACAACTTTAATTAATGGCGATGCCCACCGCCCTTATTCACTTCAAACAGTTTAACTGCTGTACCTTCAAAGCTTACGGGCAAATTAATAGTTCCTTTGTAATAAGTCGAATTCGATTTAAATTAATTGAAGCATACGTTGGTGGAATCGCTGTCTGGTTCAGAAACCACTAATATAAATGATAAAATGGATGGATCGTGACGTATTGTCGTAACGCCTTACATTTAAAAATTTAGGCACACTCTTAAAGCATTTTTTTGACTTTTACAAAAGAAGTGCTACATAAAATTTTTTATAGTTTTAATTCGTCTTAATTATTTCCAAATTAAATAAGCATTAAAGTACTGAAAAAACAGGACAGAAAGTAATGGAAAGATAAATTTTGCAGGTGTTTTCGTTGAAGCTCAGTTAGGCTGAATGCACGGACACCGATAAATTGCATTAAATATACCGGGCGTCCCAGTAAGACCTACAAGGAAAGATATTAGTAAAGAGAAAAAGCTGGAAATTATTTTCGAGTTACTGAAATGACCACCAATTGCCATCCCGTTTTTTGCAAAACTTTCTTGTGTTTACGATAGTTATAGTGACTACTATTATAAAATTGAGACAATTTTTGCTATTTTGTCTCGAATATCTTTTGCTGTATTACTCAACTGAAAATGGTGGAGATTGTTTGAACATTTTCGTAACTTAATATTAGCGTTTAACCCATTTTAGTAAACTTGGGTTGTTAAACAGGAGCAAATTCTGTATAGGTTTCTTACTTTATTCTTTTTAAGAATATTGAGGATAAGTGTGGGAAAGCTGAAATAAGTGAGATAGTTAATATCACTTTTCCAAAATTTCCTCGATTAAGAATTAAAAATGACACAACTTTCTACTTATAATTGAATGGTTAATTGGAAATGAAAGTGCGGAGGTCATTGGCTAATATTTTAGAATATCATGAAATAAAACTTTTAAATGACAATTGAGACTCATGAAAAAATCCATTGGAAAACAATAATTTTATTGATAGCTTCTTAGCTTCTTAGCATAGTTGTTGGCTGTTATTTTGCTTTTAATCTAGTCGAATCGAAATCGAATAGGTATATCTCTGCACAACACACTCTCCGCTAATTTATATTCGACGTTGGTGCAGTTTATATGGTTTGTGGATGTTGTTTGCGTTTGGCCTAAATACAATTGCTCTAATTTGACTTTATAATATATTTTGAAACAACTGTTACAATTTAACAAATAAGGTATTAAAATAATTTTTTTAATACATTTGGATAAATGGCTTGCAGGTGTTGTAGGTTTCAGTTTATGATGTTATTTCTACCAAATAAATTCCTAAATTGCAGTTAATATTGTGTGCGAATTTAAATTTAATGCGTTTTCAATACAATGTTAATAACCATTACCCAGTTGTACAAACTGTCAAAAATAGAACCAGTTTCGCTTGAGAATATACGAAAATAAAAAATAACTAAATTAATGACAAATTGTTTACATATCTTGTAAATAATGAAAAAAATTGATCTGCACAATTTTGAACGTTATAATAACACCATCACTATTGGGTGATAAAAGTGATGCAACAGATAATTAATTTGTTAAATATTAATTTAACATCAAATCGATTTACTACGGGAAATGCGGTTTCAAGTAATCGGATTTTCATTCTAGTCTAGGTTTACCTCTAAACGAAGCATAGCGTTTATTACATCATTTTTGTAAAAGCTTGAACACATATAGAGTTTGCAACTTTTGTTGTACGTAATTTAATAAAAAGAAACACTTGCTTTAAGATTACCACACACATGTTTATTTCTTTGACAATTGTTTCGGTACACTGTACCTTCTTCAGAAAGAATCTCTAAACTACTTTCTGAAGAAGGTACAGTGTACCGAAACAATTGTCAAAGCAATAAACATGTGTGTAGTAATCGTAAAGCAAGATGTTGTTGTAATCCTTTCATTAAATTTGACATATTCCAAATAAATTAAATAACAGTGTTTGAATCTTGATTACCAAAGGTTAAAACAAATTTAATAATATAGAGTTTACAACTTTTATTGTATTTATTGTTCATTTTATTGGTCATTGATTGCTCGCATTCAAACGTCATTTCAAAAGTTATCTTGGTCATGGACCAACGATACACCATATTTAGATCCAAAATGAGTATCTAGCTACATAAACTTAACTATTATCATAGACAAACCTATGGTCTATTGCCTTATCTACCTTCACACACTACTAAAATTCTTAAATAAATCAGTTTTTAAGTGATATCCTGTAGTGACGAATCAATTTCATTTTGCGTAACCTATTTTCCAAGTTTAACCCGGCGAGAATAGTGACCTTACATCAAGAAAGCTTACACACATTTCGGTAAGGCATAGTGGACCTTTTCCAGGAAACTGAGTAAACAGAGTAACAATGGACAGGGAAGACGATAATATAGCTTATTTAATCCTATGAACAGAAGGATAACGATACCTGGCCTTCCATGTCAATTTCTGCTAACATACCGGAGGATACTTTCGATAAGTATTATCACATTTGGGAAATTTACTGGCAAGAAGCTGCACGTCTTCAATGGGCTCATGAGCACACACTGGCTGTTGCCCAGTCGACGGGACAGGGTCCGGAGAGGTTCAGGAAGAAAGGAACGAGTTACTGTGCAAGGGAAGTTCTTACCTATCAAGAATGATCAGTGATATTTTGGGGGGGTATAACGTATGGTCATCAGATTATCGGACCAATCATTCAGTCCTTGTGCAACAAGTGTAAAAAAGACGCAAAGGGTAGAATATACGCTTTAGGAAAGAAATATCCAAGGAATGAACTGGTCAGCAAACTCAACCGACACGAATCCCATCGAATCCAATTACGAAAATTCCCCTGTGACCCTTCAAGAATTAACTGTTGCGGTTTAAGAAGAGTAGAAGAATATAATCAATGACGATTTTAAAAATAATATGATACGGAGGATGCCGAGACGTGTTAAACAATTGTTGGAAAGAACAGGCTATCATACAAACTATTAAGTTCGGTTTTTGTTATAGAATTGACATTTTATAAAAAAAAATCTAGCTTAGATTTTTTCTTCTTTTTTATTTTGTGTGTAATACAATATTTAGCAAAATATATAGGGAATAAAAGCCAATATATTTTGAAAATTTGGTCTTTAGGACCAATAATGGTGACAGAGCACCATAGTTTATCACCGACATTAGCTGCCGGTGCTTCTTCTTCTTCGACTTTAACTACGTAACATTCATCTACTGAACTAATTATGTTACTACTAAAGCGTCAAATGCATTCTACCTGGCAAGAATGCCAAAATTCGCAAAATTAAAAATTTTGGCATTCCACTGCCTTGAGCACTTGACACCCTAGCAATACCCAGAGTATTGATTTTTGTGAAAAAGTCAAACCGTTCAAGTAAATATATAACTGCATAATCAATCTTAACCGTATTTATCCATCGAGAATTTAGAACGAAAAAACTATGATATCGAAAAATTATGGAGGGAAGTGTCTTGGTATAGTAGGGAGTCAAGTGTGTAATGTGTTCTATGTAGCGAAAACTAAAAATTTTACGTGTTTAACCTGCAAGCAGAAATTCTATATGCCAACCTGTGGACGAAAGACCATTGTTACAATAATAATAATCGCCGATAAGTTAATGGCATTTTAGTTGATTTAATTATTTGTATTACGACAAAACCTTCGTAACGATGCCTTATGTCCAAAAAGTTAGTTAAGATTAGCAAATATGAGTTACCTGTAGGAATTGTATGATTAGGTCTAAATAAATTAGGGGGGTGTATAATAATTTCTGTTGATTGGACATCATCATTGCTCTCCTCAAAAGTGTCACCATCACTGTCATCTGTAATGAAAAGGAATTTTTCCGCGGTTAGATAAAACGTCGGAAAGGATATATGCTCGATATCGCAGTGAATATAGTTTATAGTTTATACTACCACTTACTGTAACAATAATAATTATAATAATAAAAATTTGAATCTACCGTGTTCGTTTCTTGAACCACAGCAGTTTTACAACTAAACTAAAAGGAAAACTAAATAATAATATTAAATGTGATTTTTCTAAGTTCTATCTTGGAATGCTCATGAAATACTATGATACAAGCAAACTGTGGTAGTTGCTGAAATTTGACAACCATATTGCTATTAGATAACATAGTGACCTTAATAGACGGTAAACATTGATGATGATGATGATATCTTTATAGGGAAGGAAAAGATTTTCCCCTAAATTTCGCATACGCTCCAACACTTTGCATCATTTTCTTTCTACGCAGCCATCTCCACACCCTTAGCCCGATAAAACTCGTATTAGTATCGTATCTATAGCTTCTATATGGTGAAAACGAAAGTAGTGTATTCATAATTTTACAAAACCTAAAAGATTATTAGCCACACACCATTAAAAACACAGAGAAATATTTTTCGATGCATTATCTGCTTCCCGCTTTGTGTGCAATATGAATATCGTATGCCTTAAGTATAATTTCAGACAAACTTCACTTAAAAAAAAAGTTGTATCTGTGTTATTAATAACATTAAAACTAAAAAAAAAATGTTTTTGTAAAATCCCTTCAATTAAAAGCGGAAGCGAGTAAACCATGAGCACAGCCCTTACCTCCAAGAATGTTGTGAACGATTGAAAAGTTTGAATATTTTTCTATTAACTTTTGTTGTGACTTGGATTCTCAATGTTGCGTCACACCTTGAGCTAATAATTATTTCTAATTCCCGTTCCAAGTCGACTTCAAGAATGTCTTTAAATCTTTATTTGAAACCCATTACATTGGGAGTCTTCAAGCATTGATTATAGAATAAATCACTACCTATATTGTATATGTTATTAAAAACTATCGTTCTACCGACAAGCTCCAAAATAGATCCCAAACCGGATTTCTATAGAGCACATTAAGATTTTAGAAACTATATGAATCTAGAATCCTATGTATGATGTTGCTTGGTCTAATCAAAGGACTAACACAACAAAATTACTTACCACCAACTACAAGGGTAAATTCTTCACTTTCTCCGGTTTCGGATTTACACGTGTACGTCCCAGCATCCTCGTATCGTATAGAGCTGAACACCAGAGCAGTGCCGTAGTTGCGTACGTAAAAGTTGGGCTGGGTTTTCTCCCCCAAAGCTCTATCTCTGGGCCCTCTCCATGTCACTGCCTTGCCCATGTTTCCGTCTTTGCATACCACAACTAGCGAGTCTCCAGGTTTTTTAACTTGGTACGGCGTGCTGAGCCAAAGAGCAGATGACAGGTCTATAACTAAAATGAAAGGTTGTTGCTTAATTTTAGGGAATTACGATTCCACATTTAGCTATTTTTATTTAGCTTCACAAATATTACCTAGTGTTTATTAATTTTAATTAATTGAACAAGTGTCCTCCAAAAATCCGCGTTAGTCGCAACCGCTCTAAGGCGGGAGTAATATTTCTCATATCCATTGGAAAATTGGCCGTTCGTCAGCCTCAAGTGCAATTTTTTTCCTAAACGGGAAACGAGCAGGAAATGTTAATAAGGTCATCAGTTACAACTTTGGAAATGGCCTGCAGCAAATTTCTAGTCTGTGACTTGAATAATCTGTGCTTCCGTTACGAAACTTCGGGGATTAAGAGGATTTCACTCAGAATTTTCAAACGGCCCGAGACCATTACACAGTTTTAAGGGTCGGATTTCCTTATTTGAATACCATCCGACTAGACTATAATCGCCAAAGCTGGTTTCGCATCCTCTAAACGCTGTTTTATTTGGGAGTTTTTTAATATTTATCTTTACAGCAAAACTGCGACATTCGATTTCAAATTCATTCATCACGTCAATAAAATATGTACAGGGTGGCCAGTTTATGAAGCACCACTACCACCACTCACGAACTTGAAGAGATTGAACAAAAAGTTAAGTACAAAAGTGGCTTCGGTTAATTTGGACTTTTTCATTTATATTTTCATGTATGTCTGACTCGTTTCGCCGTCGCCACTAGCAACTTTTTTATTTCAAATGAAACACCTTGTATATTAATACTGATTTAGTAAAACTTTTCAAAGAAGAGTTCACCGATGTCTATAAGATATTCCAATCTAGTTTCCAATTCTTTTTGCCTATAAAAAGAATTTCTATATTATGTTTATTTTGCAAAACTGCAAGAAAGCATTATTAAATTTAAAATTGTTACAGTGTGCCCATACCGCGCCTTATCATCAGTTTTACCATTTTTTTTAAATTCAAACGCCCGAGTTTTATTATCATCATCATTATCATCATCATCATTATCATTTATTATATCATTATATTGTTACATTTAAAAAGGCCTTTTTGGTATGCAAATTCATTTCGCAAGTAATAATTTTTATTGGAATAGTAGAACGGGTGACTACCTATGGTACCAAGGCCTCATGATTTTAACTTTTAGATATGCCTGGAATGCGATGTACAGTCATTGTTTGCAAAACGAATAAGGGCATGGAAATCTGATAAAAATATCATTTTACTTGTTCCCTAAAGATGAAGAACAGTAAATCTTTATTCAGTGTTTTGCTATGCAGTATCAAGATGGTAACCTTGGAGGACATAAACCATGCGGGTTCCACTTAAATATGAGAAACAATAGAAACTTCGTTAAAGAAAATTTCAACCAAGACTCAAAAGGACTTTGTTATTGAGAAAAACAAAAAAAAATGTTTCTGGTCGAAAGAGAGATTGAAATACATTAACCATAAAGTATTTTTGGTGAGTGAAGGTTGGTTAAGGTGAGTCTAACAGCTGTACTTTATCAAGTACTTCTTCCCTGTCTTTATTATTTTGTACTCGTATTGACTTTTGTTTTAGTTAAACGGGGCTTGTAACTACTTTCCATATGCAAATACCTGCGGGAAAAGTGAATACCACATTTAGAATTCAAGAAACGCTCAGCCTTTTATTCTTAAATATTTCAATTCAATATTTTATTCGATACAATTTAGTATTTAGTAGACGAACAAAAAATAGGCCGCGAAATTGCTCATTATTATGTTAAGAACAGCGGTATACGCATTAAAAAAGTATAAAAGAGAGGGTTGATAGGCACTTTGGCAATAGGGTCGCCGAGTGATGTCACTCCATTGTATTTGCGAGGACTGAGGTCAGAGGATCTTAAGTTTTTTTTAATGAAACTTGGAAAGATGCACAGCCTCTTAAAGACATTTTCGAAGACGTAACCCAACCTTAATAGCACATAATTTAAGAAGAAACAGCCAAAAAATCTGTACATCAAATATGGATATTGAGCTACAAGAAATCGTTATGTTAGGAGCAGTTCAAAGTGAGTTGTCCACCTGGGTTTCCATTATTATCGGGTAGCGCACAGTGGGTGGCCTACCAGAAGTATATGGCGAACGGATAAACGGATTTACTTTAAACAATAGAGGGTGACGTATAAACGTGCCAACATCTTGCTTAGTTTAAACGGCATCCTCTGTATATCATTTCGTTTTTGCAAGAAGAATTTACGCCAGAAATCAAGTATATTTATTCAGGTTTTCACATATCCACTTCTTACAGTTATCGAGATAAAAAATTAATTGCTAGTTGGTTAAGCAATTTGGACCCTTGAAAAAATCTTAATACTTCCGTGCTTTAATTGAACAGAAACCCGAACTTTTGAAGACAGTTCCTGGAAAGACTCAGATATTCAATTCTAGCATTCCATTTTAGATGGAACATACTAGGTGTTTTAAAAATAAGCTTTTGTATTGTTTTTTTTAATAGCACATCCTGTATATTTCTTCATTTTCGAATTGACCGAAATGATTGTGTAAAATTCATGAAAATTGATTTTTATTTCAAAGACGGTGCGCGAAACTTGAACAAAATTGAGTTAGTTCTCTCCTAGAATTCGAAAGTATAAGAATATACAGGGTTGTGCTAATTAAAAAAAAAACGCAATAAACTGTGTTCTAGAACCTCTGTACAAAATCTTATCTATATTACCTAAAATGGCATGTCAGGAAAGAATAACTGAGGCCTTTCAGGAACTGGAAAAGTTGGGCTTTCTGTTTGATTGAAGCACGGAACTAATAAGATTTCTTCACGGGTCCAAATCGCTTCAAAATCTAGCAAATGACTTTTTTATTTCTATGACGGCATAAGGAAATCCGAACAAAAGCTATTTTGTTTCTTAAGTAGAATCTAAAAATGAGGAGGCCCCATTTAAAAGTAGCAAGATGTTCCAACGTTTATATAGAAGAGCACCTCCTCTTATTGATCTGTTCACCAGATAGGCCATCCACTTTGCGCCATCCGGTATAGAATTACCAAACAGTAACAGTAGAAATGTTTTCTTGTACTTGCTTTTTACGAATAATGTAAATAGAATTACGTATATTTCTTAACATTGATATTAGTTAAAGAGTTTTATGATATTTTCAATGTCGGAAATCAAGAATATAGGAATTTTATTATTACACTGATTTCCTGTTTAATCCTCTTATAAATTTGAAGGTTGGCGGCAATATTCAAAATTCTGAGAAAACTGCAAATTTGCATCCCCATTGAATACATTTCATTGGAAATCATTCTAAAGCAAGGTGGGATCAATAATTAATAAATATAGACATATTAATTAGTTCTCTAAGTGGTCTTTGAAATTCGTAAAATCCCGTGGTCCGTTCGTAGAATCGTAATATCGTGAATTGCCACACGAGCAACTTTTCGCTGGTCGTTTGGCTGACTATTGGTCTTTACTGTAGTAGACGTTATTTTATTAAAATATTGATTATGTTATTTTGTCGAAGCAAGTCGTTATTTTGCTATGATATTGCCCCGATAGTTTCTACATTTTTTTTTCAAAGTATCTTCCACATGCCACTGTAACAGTATTCACAAATTTTATGGACATCGGTCGTTGATGACTCGAACTTATTTGATCAGACTTAAATTGTTCCATGTAATCAATTCTTCTACCAAAAAAAATCCGATAATCCATAGAAATCTCTAAACAACAAAACAATCTTAACTGCGGCTCACCAATATGGCAATCAGTTATCCAAGACAATCTTTATGTTCCTCCTTTAGCTCCGCCTCCCTCAAAAAATCTTACTTAAGCTCTGAAGAAGCAAACAGGATGATTGGCGAAAAGTTAACAACTTCGATTCATTAACAACCGACGCATAATACTTTCTACAAACTGTCAAAACTCCGTATGTTCAATCGGAAGAAACTAAAGAATTTTATAGGGTGCAACCATAAAGCTATTAGATGAAATAGTGGCCATACTACGGTCAAAATCGATGCGCCTCCGGTGGCCATGATATTTTCGTATAGATGAGAATGATCTTCCTTGCATGCCTCTACACACACTTAACTCCTGTTTGCCGTTAAAAGAGTCTGGACATATTTTGATAAAATACATTCGTAAAAATGCCCCATCCAAACTTATTGGCGAACTGACAATTGCCATATTTGTAGATGAATCTCGCGCATGCGCATGTTGAATGGACCTTCTCCAAATTGAACCTTGAAAATTGCTGGCGAACTAGGAGGGGTGGGCAACGGAATAATTGTCCATCTTTGTAATAAAGGCAAGTTTTTATCACGTCAGTTTCTAATCTCCAGCAACTCCGACAAAATAGATATTATAAAATTTTCAGGAAAAAAAAAACACGGTTTTCCGTAATGAAGGGATAGAGGGTCATTGACGTTAATATCAGGACACGGGGGAGTGTTTTATTGATTTGAATATAAATTGTGTCGTCTGTGTACGTTCCAAGAATTACTCCTAAATTTAATTGTATTACGGCGTTCAGAGCTGCAAATGTATGTTGCTCAAAAAAAAAACAGTTTTTATAATGAAAACAAAAATTATGACATTATGAAATTATGCAAATCAAGTATCAAGCGACAGACATGTTGCGCATAAAGAAACGACATTACCTACGCTCACCGAATAAATTTCGACGGATCACCCGAAGATTAACCTCGTGCAAGATGCCATAGTGTATCTGGGGCTGGGCATTTATACCCTTTCCTCTCTGATACCCCGATGTATCGTTTAATATACTTGCGATAGTGTTGGAAATGTGGGAAACGTGATTAGGTTTTTAAAGTAAATTATAAGCTTCGTTTGCGCTCTTCTTGATGGTTTCCAACTGCATTTACATATTTCTCTCATTAAGTACCATGACTTACTTCTGATATCACGATTAGCTCAACTTAGTTGCATTGCATTGTTTCCGACTTGGCGCGTTGAGTTTTTGTGCAGACAAGAAACGTTTTTGATTTTTTTTGTCATT